CCCTCGGTCCCCGATCAGAAGGTTTCCCGACTCTGTGAGCCCGCTCCATCTCAATTTCTTGATGAATTTGCAGTTTCTTCTTTAATATTTCCTTCACCTTACATTCAGCTTCCGTCCAGCTTTCTCCAGCTGACTCCTTGATTCCCTCGAAGATCAGGTTTTTTCGCTTGGACTGTACTTCCAAATGCTCCATTTTATCCGTTATGGCTATTAGACTCTCACAAGTTTTGTAGACATCATCCCTTGTTTCCTTGGTTTGTATTTTCTGTTCACCCATGGCTGCTTTAATCACATCCACATCTCGCTGGGTAAACTGCAAACTCGTTTTTATTTCCTGTATTTCTCTGGTCATGTTGTTGAGTCTCTTGTTATTTGTCTCCATAAGTAGTTGCACAAAACCTTTGAAGTTATCTTGTTGTTGGCTCAACAGTGCGGTGTACATCTACTTCTGCTGACTCAACATCTCTGTTACTTGCACCGCTGAAATATAATCCTCTTCTGCTTCAACATCCTCGTTCACTTCTGATTTATTAGCTCTTTTCCCTCTTGGAGGCATTTTAATAGTTGTAGAATTTGTTCAAAGACTTGAAAATGTAGAAGATGTGAAAAATCCTAGAACAGACAAGAGGAGCAGTAAAGACGTCTGCTCTCGCTAGCAACCTGGAAATGACTTTGTAGGGGTGTGAAGTTACAGTTACAATGAAGTTAAATGATTATGTCTTAAGAGAGGAGAAAATGGTTTTTAAGACTTTATGGGGCAATTTAATATTCTAATAGCCCACAGATAGAAACTGCTTTTTAGTCTGTTTGTTCTGCTCTTGATGCTGCTATATCTTCTTCCTGAGGGCAGCATGCTGACCAGGTGGTGTCTGGGATGGAGGTGGTCAAAAATAATCTTTTTGGCCTTGGTGATGCAGTGAGAGTTGGCAATATCATCAAGGGTGGGTAGTGGGCAGCCAGTGATTCTTTCGGCTGCATTTATCACCCTTTGCAGCTTCTTCCTATCAGCTGCTGTGTAGCCAGCATACTACACTGTAATGTTGTACACCAGGACACACTCAATTGTGGAATGATAGAAGGTCACCAGCATCTTCTCATTCAGTTTTTCTTCTGAGCATGCTCAGAAAGTGGAGTCGTTGCCGGCCCTCTTCACCACTGCTGTGGTATTGGCTCACCAAGACAGGTGCTGTGAGATGCCTGTCCCCAGGAATTTGAGGGTCTGTGCCCTTTCCACACAGTCCCCATTAACGTGGAGAGAGGCAGGGCCAGCTCTGTTTTGCCTGAAGTCTATGACCACCTCTTTGTTTTGTTAGTGTTGAGCATCAGGTTGTTTCTGACACACCACTCTGTCAGCCTCAGCACTTCACCCTTGTATGCAGTTTCATCTCCTCCTGTGATGAGTCCCACCAGGGTCGTGTCATCTATTGGAAGGGTAAATGGGAGTACAGTCGTGTGTGTAGATGATGAATAAGAGCAGGCTCGGCACACAGCCTTGTGGGGAGCTGGTGCTGAGCATGATGGTGGAGGAGCTATGGGTACTGATCTTAACACGATGCCTTGACTGACTGATTGTATGTCCCACCACCAGCATATGTGGGACACTGTCATTATGCTGGTGACTGCGACTCTGTAGACACATTCTTCAACATAATAACTCAAAAACAATAGATGCTTTTCCTGTTGATGCAAATTGGAGGATGTGCGTGCGCATCAGGGGGATAAAAAAAGCATGCTGGTGCACTATTATGTTTGCTTATCATTTGGAGATTTTCATAATTTTTAAATGGTAATTGGCTGAACAAAGTCAGTGATTACCTTCTTTTAGTAATAGATCATGTATGGTCTTTCACTGAAATGCATCTACCTCAGGTATCTTTATGGATGTGATATCCAGCATTGGTACCAGACTACATAAAGCACACAGCAAATAAACATAGATAAAGTTACGCAGTGGTAACGTAACATAATTTACATTATATCAGTAATTTTTTGAGGATATGACATTAGCTACCAGATGTAACATTAAATGTCACATGTCTTCTACATCGCTTTTTAGCATCGTTAGCTGACACTCTCTTTAACTGTAAACTTAGTAGAGCCGTCCTTATAACGTGATTAGCCTGTTTTGATAAATGAAATGCAGGATGCAGTTTAACTGTTTCTGACTCAGTTTAGATGAACGGTAAAGTGTTTTTTGTTTTTTGAAAGCCACAGCTGAAAAGCTCAGAGAAAAGAAGTAAAACAAATATTAGTCTTCAGATAGTTGTGCATCTAGCAGCAGTAGCTGTGTAGACAGAGAGGAGTAGCAGAGAGAGTTCAGGACCACAGCTCCCAGTGAGTGCAGGACTTTTCTGCATACATTTGCATGTTAATAATGTGAACTTTTTTAAACTTCTGTATGCATTTTTGATGTCAAACTAATAATGTGGACATCTGTTCTTTTGTAATGGATACTCTGGCAGGACATTAGGGCATCCAAGTTCCTGCTG